AGAGAGAGAGAGAGAGAGAGAGAGAGAGAGAGAGAGAGAGAGAGAGAGAGAGAGAGAGAGAGAGAGAGAGAGATGGGAGGGTGTAGGAAGGGAAGAGAGAAAGGGGGGGAGTGGACAGCAAAAAGGGGGCCAGGAGATGATGGAGAAAGGGCGTGAGATGGAGAGAGAGAGGGAGGGAGGGAGGGAGGGAGGGAGGGAGATCACAAATGAACATGTTCAATGGTATGCATTGACTCTGCAACTATATCCCCCATCAACAATAGGATAACACAGTGGGATAGACATGGTTTGTTATAGGATAACGTGAACAACACTTCTTGCCGCCATCGAGTCGACACAGACCGGCAGGGCATTTAGAGGAAAACAGGGCTCCTAATAGGAGCTACAAGGAGCCAACATGTATGTTCCCTTTTAGGTATTCCATGGCGACATCCACATCATTGGAAGTGGGCATTCTCCATGTCATCTCAGTTTTCAACAGCTGACTGAAACGGCCATATTCGAGTGACGCATGACGATGATAAAAGACCCATGACGATGATTAATGACCCATGATGATGATTAATGACCCATAACGATGATTAATGACCCATAATGATGGTCATCCCAAAGATTGCAGAACCACCAAAGTACTTCCATATATATATCTCATATTTGGTTCTAAGTTCTAACTACCTAAAGGGTGCATTCTGAGTCCATCCAGTCGAATGCGGCAATTCTCCTCCTGCTTTCCACTTGAGCTGCACATTTCCTCAAGAGTTTTCGCCGGACTTTTCGGCTTATGCTGGCATTTCCTCAGTTCCTCGTGCATCACCACAGAGGATCCAGCTTTTTTTTTTTTTTTCCCCGTCCTATCACTGCTGTTCTTCAGATCCCGGAACAAAAACCATCTTCACATCGCGGAACAAAATCAAACGACTTCTTTACGCAGCAGACGACTCTACTCTCCACCTCTATTGTAAGACAGCTTGTACACAAACCGATGAAAAGACTTGTTCTTCTTGTGTGACAGAAATGGACAGCATCAGCACTCAAAGAGTCTGCGCTTTGCAGAATTCCACACAAAAAGAGCATGCCGCATTGCTATATCATAGGAAACAAGATGGGGATTCCAAGTCATGCAAACGGACAAGGTTATGTCTACGATAGATGACACATTTCTGTCAATCACTCGAGAAAAGACACAGCCCTTTTCGAATGAACGAATAACCGGCAGCATCTTACTCTCTAACAATTTTTACTCAGCAGCATTCAGACAAGAAGTAAAAGAAGTGCAATCAGGGTACAGACAAAGAGCATTTCTTACGTATTGAGAGAGAGAGAGAGAGAGAGAGAGAGAGAGAGAGAGAGAGAGAGAGAGAGAGAGAGAGAGAGAGAGAGAGAAGAAAGGGAGGGACAAAGGAATGGCAACAATTGAAGAGGAGAACTAACCACAATGCGGNGAGAGAGAGAGAGAGAGAGAGAGAGAGAGAGAGAGAGAGAGAGAGAGAGAGAGAGAGAAGAAAGGGAGGGACAAAGCAAAGGCAACAATTGAAGAGGAGAACTAACCACAATGCGGTGACATCTCCACTGATGGACTGTCCCCCAGAAGAAGACGCCCAGACCTGCACATTGCATCAAGCTTAACCAGAGGATACCGCATCTAACGGCAGGAAGCCACGGAACAGACAGTGCAGCAACTTGCACGTCCTTCTCCAGCAAACGGGCAAACGCAGCCCAAAATGGAGAACGATGCAGCTCGTCAATAAACGTCCACAGACACTTTGTTCTCTCAGAAGTTGCTAGCATTGCCGCAGGATGCAGAAGCACAGAGACAGGCATCCCCACATAGAAACTGTGATTATTAGTTGCTTTCCCATCAATCATAAATTCATTGTACATTATCATAATCCCGGCGAGGTTAATCTTCCAGCACCTAGGTTACTAGAGTGGCTGGGGACCACTTGCCTCGCCAGGCCAAAAAAAAAAAAAAAAAATTAAATTTTAAATAATTTATTTTAATATTTTTTATTTAGTTTTTAATTTTAATTTGGCAAAGAATTTCGATGTGACCCTAGGGCAAAAGTTGTCCAGTTTATTTTTCTGCACAACTGTCACAACAGAGTTTTTTTTTTGCGGTTTTTTTTTTTTTGTTTTGGAAGAGACCTTCCCTGGTCGTTGCCTGGCCGGGCTGCGCGAGCAATCAAGGTGACCCGGGCGGCCCGGTAGGTAACGCATGTCAGCACACGCCACAACAACAAATCAGGTTGATTTTAAATGAATCACAGATCGCAGTTGGTGGAGACAGAAAAAAAAACTTAAGCTCTTCGAAGTTCGAACTGAAAACCAACGCTGTTGTTTCATTATTGGAAAATACCCCTGCCACAAATATGGAATTAAACAAAAAAAAAAAAGGGAAACCGTTATGTCATCACATTTGCCAACTGACAAAAGCACAAGCCTATTTTGTCCAACCAGTTAAAACACCTCTATTTTGTCCAACCAGTTAAAACACCTTCCCAGGCCTGCCCAGCCTGAAACATCCCTTCTACAGGATCACACCAACTTCGACACAAACATGCATTCCGTTTGGCGTGAATAATTTTTCGTAGCCAAAATCATTTCTTGCTTATTTTGTAATTTGGTTCCTCTGATGCGGTGGAACCTCATCTACACTCATGATTTCGCTCAAAATGTTTCATCGCGTAATGACCCACTAAAACACAGACTGAGAACACTCCTGATTTCTGAGTTCTGCCACTGGAATGGAGGCCTTGCTGAGATTCCCGCATTCTGCTGAGTTTTCTAAGTCTGTGTGTGTGAGCGTGCTTGATGGTCTGCGTGCCTGTCTGAGTGCTGGTCGGCCTGAGTGTTTGTGTGACCTGCAGGGGTACTTGCTTGTTTGAAGGCCCGTAGGGCCGCTACTAACCTGTGGCAGTGACATTGATGGTTGCAGGGGGGGAAAGAACACTCAAAGTGGCAGGGCACGAGGCCCGCGACACTTAGGGCAGCGGAAAAACACTCAAGTAGCAAGTAGGCCGGTACCACACCAAGTAGAAGTAGATGTGCCGGGTACTCCAGGCCGCGCAGAAGAAGACAAAGTTGGCGTTTTTAGAGGCCCAGTAGTTGTAGGCTAGGTCTAAGCGGGTACAAGTCCAACCAGTCTGAGTCTAAGGCCTGTACGGGCAATATCAGAGTCTGCAATGATGTTTCCCTCTGAAAGGGGGGAGGTACCGGTTGCTTGGGAAGCCTAGCGGCCTGGAAGTCACCGTCCAAGAGGCAAGAAGGCCGGTATATCTTCAGGTTGAGCCAAGAGCTCAGCCTCATTCGTCGGTGTGCAAGCGTGGTGACACACTGCTTGGAGTGTTGGCTGGAGGAGCGCTGGGCACTTCAGAGCTGCTGGGAGGAAGGAGACCGGGAGCTCCCACCTCGGCTATGGTGGAGCTCTGTCGGTAGGAGAAGGAGGGAGAAGAGGACTGAGGAGGAGAGTAGCGAGGTACCTACCTGGCTATGGTGGACACCATCTTCATCAGCTTGATAGGCGCTGCATCTGGAAGGCCCCAGTTGCGGTAGTGCCGCACCAAGGAAGCTCGAGGCAGAGTCAGGCATGGCGGCCTGATGCCCAGCGACATAGCTGCTTGGTGTTGTCCTTTGGACATGAGGGCAGAGCCCTTAGTAGTCCGCCATAGCCTTGGCCTACATGAAAAGGAAGATGAAGGGTGGTCATGGCTATGGCGGACCTCATGTTGTCCCTGCAGTAAAAGAGGGCTTCAGACATTCATTCTGGTTCAGCCTTTCAACACTATTCTCGTTATTTATTGTTTGAATAAGCGGGGAGGAGAAAAGGAGGAGGAGAGCGGTCGGTGAAGAAGAAGTGAATTCTCATTGGTCTTTGCTGGTGTACATCCTCCTCTTCTTCTTTCTTTCTTCTTCTTCTTCTTCTTCTTCTTCTTTCCCTCTATTGTTATTTATTGTTTGAATAAGAGGGGAGGAGAAAAGGAGGAGAGCGGTCGGTGAAGAAGAAGTGAATTTTCATTGGTCTTTGCTGGTGTACATCTTCCTCTTCTTCTTTTTTGTTCTTCTTCTTCTTCGTCTTCTTCTTCTTCTTCTTCTTCTTCTTCTTCTCTTTTCCCTCTCTCCTCTCAAGTTCATTCATTTATTTTTGCAATTGGACGGCATTGTACTTTCGGATGGATCTGTACTTTGAAATTGGCTAGGATCGTAACAATTGCCAGAAATCAGACTTAAAACTCGACAAAGATGGAAAACTGGGATTTGCACCCGCCCACTGCCTTCTTGGGTCCAGTAGTCCAAGCCTTCACATTGTGCGCCGTGATGTGTGTTCCATTGTGCACCGTGTATACACCACATCGGTCCCTTTTTCGTTCTGACGCAGCAGTTCATTGCCCGCATAGTTGGGAGCTCGGCCTCCTGGAAGGAAAAGCCTGGGAAAGTGTCAGGCAAAAAGAAAACGTTCTCCCGTCGCTTAAATCAGACTTTCATCTTTATCAAACAAGGAGTTTTCTATCGTCAACGTGGTGATCGTCGTGGTACCACCATACCAATAATGCCTTTACATCTGCGAGCATGTGATATTTCGGCATAAAATCAAGCCCTTGTCAATGAGCAAAACCAGCTGCTCGAGAATTTTTTTTTATTTTTTTTTTATTTTTTTTTGGGGGACAGGTCCTTATGGTCCTGGCCTCATATCAATTATCGGGAGTGTCAATCCCTTTCCTTATCTACCTGACTGACGCTCCCTATTCCACAGGGGCTTATGGTCCTGTTTCCATATCCATTCTCGGGACCGTCAGTCCGGTTCCTTTTCCACTGGACTGGCGCTCCCTATTCCACAGGGCCTTTCGGTCCTGGCTCCATATCCATTCTGCAAGTCAAAGGGATACAGCACAATACACACACACACAAACACACACACACACACACACGCTTTCTTCCATTTGGCCGAAGGACGCCTGAGCAGCATTGATTACTCCACCTTCATGAAGGATTGACTGTCAGCTTGCCCAAAGCCCGTTCATTTTTTCTTCCGCGTGCAGTAGAAATCACGATTGGGAAGAAGAAGAGGTTCGGACGGACTGGTGGTTTAAAGTTTAAACCACTTGTACGTTTCCCAGCAATGTTTTCAAAGCCGTGGCTCACATGTGGCAACAACTCTCAAGGCTTGGCCGCTAAGTAAAATGGCTGGCGGCACAAGCCAAAAGGAGGCCTGGGCCAGTTCAGTTTTTTTTTGGTGCACAGCGCGTTTCAGGCCCCAGAGAAAATTGCCTCTGGTTTAGATGGAAAAGGTAAAGAATACGGTATTTGTTTTCTGACTCCTTCTTTGGTACCAAAATTAGGTCAAGTACTTCTGGAATAATGCTATGTCATCACTCCCCTGTGATTGTAGGGAGATACATAATGTAGTTGGGTATCAGCAATACCCAATATCGAAATTCTTCATGCTGTGCAGCCGTATCTCATTGACCAGAAACTCGCACAGATCATCCAACACCTCTCTCTCTCTCTCTCTCTCTCTCTCTCTCTCTCTCTCTCTCTCTCTCTCT